TATCCAAAATCGCACACGTACGTATATATGCTGTCTTGTAAAAGTTGTAAAAGTTAAGAGAACGAGAAAGTGATCTGTATGCACGTGTGACATGCACTATCGGGCACTATCGCGTAACAAAGATTTCTCCGAAGAATGTTTATATTGTACTTTACTTTTGTTAGCTTGGATGCTTCAAATGTACAATATCGCGTCTTCAAAATATAATAATTCTCAGACACTGTTGAAGAATAATTGTCTAGCCAAGAGGTCCTCTTATAAATGTCCTCCTTTTCTCTCGTTTTCTCACGCAGGAACATTTTATATTCAACTATATGGTATACAATTTTGCTGCTGCCGATATATTGACCGCAGGGAGCTTATACCGAAGAGATCTTTAAGAAGGAAGGTGTATCCAAAATTGCACATGTATGTACGTATATGCTGTCTTGTAAATTGAAAAAGTTGAAAAGAACGAGACAGCGTTCTGTAGCACAATTTATATTGTAGGCAAGTTATGCTAAAATATTTGTGAATTGAGTTCCTATTATCCATTATTATGATATAATTTTTATCAACAATATTAGAGGAGTAACGAAAATTAATTTGATTAAATATTTAAAGCAATTGAGAGTTTTTAGCATTAAGTATTTCCATTTTCTCATAATATGCTTAAAAAATATTGCAGGGGCTTGTGAGTTATGCGAAGCAATTGATACTATTAAGGTTCATTGGTCATATGAAGTTTGCACACGTCAAACTTGACATCCTAAAGATCACAATGCATTCTGAAAACGATACTGTGCAGGTTCGTTGGCGTATACGTGGTGTCACAGGCTGGAAGGTATTTTCTATGTTTTGGAAATAAAATTTGGAAAATACAACATGCCATAATAAGTGCTAACCAGGAAATGTAAGTATAATCAGTGCTATAAACATTCCTTTTAATAGTAAATATAAAATTGTTTTTATAAACATTAATTATATAATTAATTCAAGTTGTCTATTATTTGAAAAGAACTTGATTTTTAGTTTTGTTTTGTATTCTACCTTCAGAAAAAGATAAAATAATTTAGATTTCCTAACATTAATTTTGTTTATGCTATTGGAGACTAAACACTTATTATAAAATT